TACTTGGGAATGCTTAATTTTTACCGCCGTTTTATCCCAGATGCCGCTCGCTTTCAAGCACCCTTGAACGACCTTCTAGCCGGCAATTTAAAGGGCAAGACCCTGATAGCCTGGACTTCGGAAGCGCGTCAGGCTTTCGAAAATACCAAAAATAGTTTAGCAAACGCAACCCTGCTTTCTCATCCTGCGGTCAACGCTCCATTGTCGGTTACCTGCGATGCTTCTGATTACACCGTAGGAGCTGTTTTACATCAGTGCGTCGGCAACGAACGACAACCATTAGCATTCTTTTCTAAGAAATTAGGATCTGCCGAAAAGAAGTATTCAGCTTACGACCGGGAACTACTTTCTATCTATTTAGCAATAAAACATTTCAAACATATGCTCGAAGGCAGACATTTCACGATTTTTACAGACCATAAACCCATAACTTTCGCTTTCAAACAGAAATTAGATAAATGCTCTCCTCGACAATTCCGATACCTAGATTACATTGCGCAATTCTCTACAGATATTCAACATATTTCCGGTAAAGACAACGTCGTTGCCGATGCACTGTCCAGAGTGGAAACGGTTAACCACTCGATTAATTTCGAAGAATTGGCAAAATCGCAAGCCCAGGATGAGGAGTTGCAGCGGTTGTTGAATAGCGAATCTAGCCTGCGATTACGTAAAGTCTCGTTGCCTGGCACGTCTTCCGAAATTTTTTGCGATATTTCGATTAAGAATGTAAGACCTTATGTCACCCCTCCTTTCCGACGTGCAGTTTTTAATATGTTACATGTATTATCACATCCAGGTATTAACGCGACGATCAAGCTCATAACGCAACGTTATGTTTGGCCGTCGATTAAAAGAGATGTTCGCACGTGGACACGTTGCTGTATACCGTGCCAAAGATCAAAAATTTCCCGTCATGTGACTGCACCATTGGCTACATTTGTTAAACCTTCTGCGCGATTCGAACACATTCATTTAGACATAGTAATTTTACCGGTGTCCGAAGGTTTCAGGTATTGTCTGACCTGTGTAGACAGATATACGCGGTGGCCGGAAGCCTTCCCCATGGTCGATCAGGAGGCCCAAACCGTAGCTCGAACCTTTTATGACGGTTGGGTAGCGCGGTTTGGTGCTCCCGTACGGATTACCACCGATCAGGGTAGGCAGTTCGAATCCAAATTATTTTTTGCGCTGAACAATTTAATTGGATCCACACGCCTTCGCACAACGGCGTATCACCCAGCGGCCAATGGGATGGTAGAGCGTTTTCACCGACAGCTCAAGTCGGCTATAAGGTGCCACGGATCCGACAGGTGGACAGAAATACTTCCGACGGTTCTACTCGGTATTCGTTCCGCCTGGAAAGAAGACCTCGGCGCTACCTCAGCGGAATTAGTTTATGGCGAGCCATTAAGATTACCGGGAGAGTTCTTGTCTTCGCATTCAGCGGAAGGCACAGAAAATGCTTCCGATTTTACTAATAGACTACGCAACCATTTTTCTAAATTGAGTCCCTCTAATGCATCACGCCATTCCGTTAATCGTACATTCGTTTTCAAAGATCTTAGCAGTTCAACACATGTTTTCATCCGAACAGATTCAGCCAAAACTATTTTACAACCCGCTTATGAAGGTCCATACGCCGTAGTGCGCCGAGGCGAAAAAACATTTACAATAAACATTAGAGGTAAGGAAATAAATATATCAATTGAAAGGCTAAAGCCTGCTTATATGCTAGCAGAAAACAGACCGGATCCCGTGAGCATAGAAAATCAGCCGGTCACACAAACAAACGTACCTGACAATGCGCCGGTTATACAGCAACGTGTTACGCGTTCAGGTAGACGCGTACGTTTTCCCGAGCGATTTCAAATTACGCGGTAGTACTTAAGGCTTGCGCATTATTATAATAAGTATCATATACCATTTATTTTTTTCCATCACTTTTATGTACTTTCATGTATTTTTAGGTATTACGTATTATATATTAAACTCCATGTAAATTCCTTTTTTTTTCAACTCTGTTCAAATACTGTAATGTAAATCTTAGTTAGGATAACGTATTTTATATAATAGAGTAAATGGTAGTGGTAATGTAGTCGGTCAATTTTTCGTAATTGTGCCAATTACTGGCAGGGGGGTAGTGTGGCGGCCAAGGCACCACATACGCCTTAGCCGTTCGAAGCCGCTACAATGTATGGTTGCACACGAGACGATGGTTGCACACGAGACGACCAGAGCCGCGTGAGCCGAAAAGCCGTTGTCGTCGTCTCTGACCGTCTTTTGTTTTTGAAGGCCTCTTGGTACGGTGGCGATGATCGTACCAGTGAGTCGAGCGTAACCCGCACCACGAGTCACGTCGTTGTACGACAGCAACAATAAAATTGTGCGGAACGGAACAGAGCGGAGTCATTATCTTCCCGATCCCACAAAACTATAAATCCACCAAGTTTTATGAAATAATATTGTATCTGGGTGAAAGTTAATTGTCCTGCTGTTTTAAAAAATATTTTTTTGAGCTCAAGGTCGTTACAAGGTCACTGAAGCTAAAAACTATTTTTCTTAGAAATTCGTAACGGTATAATTTTAAAAAATTACGATTTATTTCAAGTAATTTGCAGCCCATAACTTTTGCACGAATCAAAATTTCGCGATACGATTAAAATTACCGATCAAAAGAAATGATTAAGAGTTTATTTTCCAACTCGTTGCACCGTCGTTACCCTTTGATGCAAGTCTTCATTTGCACCCGACGATCTATCTAGGAGAAAAATACGCCGAGCATGCGATAGGACGATTCTACCGTTCTGTGTGTGTGCACAATGGCGACTACGGTAAAAGGCGGAGGATTCGTGTTGCGGCGCAATATGCAGTAGAACCTGGATTATTGTATGAGAACCGTGTTCGTTAATTGAAAATAATGGTCGCTTAAAACGAGTGACGTTAGACAGGGAAGTGAAGATATACTGTATAAGTGAGGCTCCCTTTCGTTTGGGTTACCTCGATCATTGCGTGGCCCTCGATCGTTGCACCGGGTTTCCCGCGATCTTTTGCGATAATCGAGACTCTACTGCGAAGAGAAGACGTCCCTTATGATTACTGCAGCGTAGCAATCGTTTTATTTACCATAAATTGGGATTCCTGAACATCTTTGATGTTTTTCAAGAATCCCTGGGAAATTGAAGACGTACGGGGTACACGACCCGATACAAAGTTGTTCCTTGTGCAAAAACGAATCGAAAATGTCGAGTAAAATTTTATCGCGGAAGCCTCCGTTTTTCCGAGAAAATTAATTTCGAAAAATTAAAAGTGATTATTTTGACATTTTTTAACGTGTCTGTTCTGTGATCGTTATTTATACTTGTGCTGGTGTTCTTCTGGATTTTAGTATTTTTTAAGCAGTCAGTAAGTAGAAACAGTGAGCCATAGACAAACAAGTTGCCAAGATTCACCGAATATCACTTTTCTTGGAAACGAAGCCTCCTATCGAATCATCGTACTCCACATTTTCGGCTCATTTTGGCGCAAGGAATCGTCCTATGTACCGTGTGTCCTCGTAAAATTCGACACACGTGGACGACACTGTCGGAAACTTTTTTCGATACAATGTTCAAGCATGTGCTGGTTATACACGCAGATACAAACTTACCAATCCTCTATAAACACATCCATCACCGCAGTAAACCATCAACATTACACTCAGATCAACGTTAGATCAGATTCCACACAGAACACATCCAAATATCGAAACACGTTAAGAACACATTTAAGTTAAAATACTAATATAGATTTCTATATTCGTCTCTTTTCGTTGCTAAAATTATATAACGCGCCATGTCTTAAAATAATTAAAAAAATTTAAATTTCAATAAGAGAGAAATCAAAAACAGATTTGCCCTTCGATCGAACCCCAATTTGTTATTATTGCTCCGTCGAACGCAACGAATCGTTCTTCTTTTGCTTTTCATTTTTATATTGAGAATATTCGATCACCGTTCGTGTAATTTAATTCATAATCGCTTTCTACTCGATTGAGTCATCTGTCTCGAGACGCTGTCCATCGTAATAACAACGGCGTACGAAAGTTTCTTAATTCATCAGAACCATTTCCTTGACATGGCGGGGTTACACAATCCTCTTCGAATCCGTGGCTTGTTAAGCTGCCGATACGTGGATCCGATAATTCCATCGATCAATCGTATAACAAGATTTACCAAGGACGAGTTAGTAACCGGTGCTCTGCGGATATCGTGGCATCGCCAGTACCCATATACAGCCATACACGTACACGAGCCCAGCGTTATATACATTGAAATTAATTCTACCAAATTATTAGCGTACCGGGACGTGCGCATGCGTGCCTTTCATACAGCGAAAAATATTATTGAAAGTCGACCAAACTCACGAATAACGAATAAATGCTAAACCAAACAAATTTGCCACCCCATGTTTTAGACTATTCAATTTATCAAATAAAATTAACGTAAATTTTTATCAAATTTTCCAAATTTCCAAACGTATGGTATGCTTAAAATATTTTCCACCTTTTATTTTAATATACAGAGAAATTTATTTAATTTAATAAATAGAATTAACTTAGCTCTCAATTTTTATTAAATTTTTTTAAATACGACGCGCTTTTACTTGAGAGTGAATTGTAATTTACAGGGTACTTCATTTTATCCGTTTCATTCGGTCTATGTGATTTATTAAGTTGACGTCAATTTTTCTTAAATTTTCCAAATTCTCACGGTGCGTTTAATATATTTTGATCGTGTTTTCGTTTAAGGACGGATTGTAATTTACAGTGAAATTTAATATTATTCGTTGTTCGTAAAATTTTCCCGACTCTCGAGACGAAGACTGAAGAAGAACGAAGAGAAGCCGAACGACACCGAAGAAGAATACCGAGAGAACCGATGAAAGGAATACGGCGAAAGAGAAAAGAAGAGCGAAGGTTTAAAGTTAGCGCCAAACGTGGGCTGGTATTTCGTACTTACTGTTCGCGTTCCTCCAGCTCGACCACCCGATTACTGTCTGTGTTTTGTTTAGCAAGTCCAAATTAAAAAGTAGAGCAGAAACGAATCAGTTTTCCTGTGTTAGTGGGTGGCTACTGCACACGAGAACCGGTGCCGGCTGCTGCGCGCACGAGGACCAAATTAACAGTACATAATTGCAACTTCAAATCTAATCAAAGTTACAAAGGCACAGTGAGCTATATTCGAAGCTATTAAAAGCTACACGAAGCTATTCGAAGCTACATGAAGCTTTTCGAAGCTACATGAAGCTATTCGAAGCTACACGAAGCTATTCAAAGCTACATGAAGCTATTTGAAGCAACATGAAGCTATTCGAAGCTACACGAAGCTATTCGAAGCTACACGAAGCTATTCAAAGCTATACGAAGCTATTCGAAGCTACACGAAGCTACACGAAGCTATTCGAAGCTACATGAAGCTTTTCGAAGCTACATGAAGCTATTCGAAGCTACACGAAGCTATTCGAAGCTACATGAAGCTATTCGAAGCTACACGAAGCTATTCAAAGCTACATGAAGCTATTTGAAGCAACATGAAGCTATTCGAAGCTACACGAAGCTACACGAAGCTATTCGAAGCTACACGAAGCTATTCGAAGCTACATGAAGCTATTCGAAGCTACATGAAGCTACATGAAGCTATTCGAAGCTATTCGAAGCTACTTACGAAGCTATATTCGAAGTTATTTGAAGCTATTTATGCGAGACTGAGTGTTGGCGCTTCAGTAAAGAGTAATAAAATTATGGAAACGACGAAATGTAATTTGGGAGGTCCTTTTCAGCGAATGGAGACGTAATTGGACGATCTTTGTGAAGATCTACACATTGCGATCGATAAGATTTGCACGCCTCCTCGTCCTCGCAGCAACGCAGCACCGACTCGTATACTTAACAATTTTTGTATATGTATATGTACTTGTCTTTTACATTCAAATGAGAAATTCGCATTGTCCATCTACTTTATACGGTTACGTAACATAATAGACATGCTTCTCTTGTAACTAGCATGAACTATGCGATAATAACAACGCAAAATAATGTATGCAGTGCCGTGATTTATGCAAATCTGCAGTCATCCGATCGCGATATTAAAGTTTCACCAACGTGACAACTTTATTGCTCGTTACGCGAACGTACCGGTGCAATGAAACTTCGTAATTATGCGACGTATTAAGTAATTAATACTTGAATGCAATTCTGGTCACACTCGCGACAGTTATAATATACAGATCGAGGCGACGAAAGAAATTAATTGAATTTTCTTGTACCTCTCGTACACGATTACATACAAGCTATTGCAAATGTTAAATATTTTATGAAACTTTTACATAAATTTAATGAAATACGAACCTTTGTGAACCAGTAACCGAGCAACGAATTTTGCAAATATATTAAACTGCACGCTTTCCACAAATTGAAATATATTGTTACATACAAAATCGAGCAAGAAAAGCATACCATAAATATATTTAAAAACACTATCAACCACGTGGCAAATGTCTGCAGCCAGTTCTGATAAGAGAAGTTGTACTTTTTTTTTTACAAACGCACGATGTTTCGGGTGCCCCTCAAGTCGAACTAACAAATTACAATTGACAAATACTCGAAGAATTTGAATGTACAAACGGTGCTTATTCTCGGCAATTAAATAATCTTGTTTCGTCGCGACGTAATAATTTTACTCGATGATTGCGAATGGCGTTTTTCGAAATGAACGATGCATCGAATGGCCTACTGGGAAATTTACTGCGTCAAAGGAGCTAACTATTTCTCGTTTTTCAATATCGACGGTGACTCGTGAGGTTTAGCTACGACAAATATGCATTACATGCCTTGTCCTCGTTTAGACCAACAAAATAAGCTCCATGATGTATCGTTAAATTACGCAGACTACGTTTACTATACGAATTCTATTTGATACGTGTAATCCTCCTTCGTGCGTGTAACGAGAGAATACATTTTTCAAAGCTTGTTTCGTAAAAGTTTCACGAATATCGTGTGGAAATATTAGTTCGAGATTCTTGGCACGATATTAAACTTTTCAAATAATGCGTATTTATCGTGGAGCGTCGTCGTGAAAATAAACAATGTGAATGTTGCGTTCGATGAGTGCGATATATTCGTCGTGAACGTTGTTTAATTTTAATTTGGACTTTTTCAAGAATTCAGTGTCATATGTTTCACTAAGCATATTTAATAAATAAACTGTAAGAGAGCTAAGCGAGCAATGTATTATGGGATATCGAATAATTGTTACGCCCGAAAGCAGCAGCAAGGAATAACATAAATCTTTCAGTTAATCGATAAACAATTGTTAACGAGAGCTCTCGAATACTTTGTTTCTGCCTCAAAGTACAATTCTGTTAGTTTTCAGAGCCACGATATCTTTCAAATCTTAATATTCACGTAATCTTTACGACGTTGTAATATTAAAGAAAGTCCATCCGGATAAGTCATGCGAATCGTGAGTAGCAGATCACAATGACAGACACGTAATAGGGAACAGAGCGTAACTTACATTTCATTTGGCTACGTTTGCGCCGACAAACGATGAAGATCACCACGCAGATGATTATTATCACAAGTATGAGAACTACTGCAGCCACGATCACTATCAGAAGGATATTTCCCTCCAGCTGGTGCCACCAGGGAATATGGCCTGGAACAAATATCAATTTCATATTACATACAATAATTTTCTAAATTTCATTTTTCAAAAATATTTGAGATACTTGGGGGCGTTAAAAAAATTGTAAAATATTTTTAATACGATGGCAATATTTGGTAATTAATTTTTTATCCCAGTTCGATGGTCATCAAATACTTCGTTTGAGTTCTCTTTATTCAAATTTCGCGCCGTTGAATTTGATTAAAAAATAATATTTGAGAGATTTAGGAGTGTTGAACAATTGTAACAAGATATATTAGAGACTCTTAATGTGATTAATTTTTTGACCTAGTTCGATGGTCATTAAATATTTTGTTCCGCGTTCCCTTTATTCAAATTTCGCGCCACTTGGGACGAGGTTAGCTTTTGCTGGAAGAATAACTTAGAAATTTCCGTGTCAAACCGCAGAAGGTTGAGTCTGATCGATGCTATTTCACAGAAATCATTGGCTGTTGGCAACAGAATAACAGAGTGGAATGGCTGCAATTCAAATTTCCAGCCGCAGCTGCGAACTATCATGAATACGAAGATCGGTGGCGATCTTCGGGCGCGGATTTTCATATTTCTACTCGAATCTAATCGGCCATTTTGTTATTCCAGAAGTTTCCACGCGTTCACAGACCTCCATTTCAATTAATTTCGTAGGACATCTCTTGTACAATTCGGTAAAATAATTGTTTAACGAACTTTTTGATATTTTCTAAAATTCCATTTTATATGCTGAGTAGGATAATAAATAATTTTATAAATTAAGTATAATAATTAACCAATAGCTAAATTGCTTTACTTCTACAGAATTTCTTCGCTACGTATATAGGATAATAATTGAAGAACTTACTTCTATGTCCATGGTGAGCTAAGAAGGAACAAAGAATGTTGAAAGCATACTATATATTTATGTTGATTATTTATAAAAGTCTAAAGTGGAACGATATTACGTTCAACGTGTTTCAGTAGCGTGCCTCGTCGATATATTAAATTATAAGATACAACGAAGCCATTACTATGAAAATTTTAATAACGGCCCCAGACAATGTTTATAGCAAATTTATTTAATCGGTCGGATATTCATATCCCCGCGGGGATAGTTCCATTTTCCCTGGAAGAAATGATAACACTTAAGGAGTCGGGGGGGGTAAATGTCCCAATGGGGGGATTTTCTATGTGTTTCACATTTGTTTAGCAACTTTACAGCGTTAAAAAATTACTAAGATGGCCGACTATCGAAAAGAAAATTTATAAAATATCTGCTTCCATTGCTTTTTACTCCAAGCAAGAATTAGTTGAAATTAGTTAATCGACTGAATATCAAAATTATTTGAATATAAATTGAAGATTAGTCACGTTTCGTTGAAACTAATTATTATGTTTTTTCTAACGACGAGTATGAACATAGAAATTAATCGATTTTATAGAGAGAACGTGACAATATAAATATAACAAAAAGTCATTTCTCACAAAATGTAAACAAGCTTTAAGACTTTAATGGTATTTATCGTTTTATAGAATTTAAAAATTTGCTGTTGGAATTTTCCATTCGACGCCACTTGTAAACGCGTCAAAAAAGTTTAATTACTACCTTTGAATTACGAAACATGTAAATATCGCGAAAAATACTCATTTATATTTTCAAGCAACGCCTCAAAGCTTTGTGTTTGTTACAAAGTTGTTTAAAATTCATGTTGTTCGGCATCTGCATAAAACTCTAATAAAAGTATAACTTTTTTCATCGTTCCGAACCTTATTTCCGTCGAACATTTACATGTCATTTACATACGATTAACAAATGAAGCGTGAATTTTAATTAAAATTGGTTTGAGCATCTTTTCGTTCGATCACAATGCGAAATTAATTGTCCTCTTGGCGATTTAACGTCCAAAACGAACGAGAAATGCAAATCGTCGATAAATGGCGCCGAACGACGAATCGTGGCGCCAAATTTAATTGCGAATTTCGACCGTCCAAGGAAAATCGAATTCGCGAACTTTCAAGTTCGACGTACGGGAGCACGTTCTCGCCGCCAAGTCCTTCGATTCACGATTCAAGGGTATACAAAATTAAAACTCCTGCCTGGAAATTACTTTCATAATAATTTTGGAACCACGAAGGATCATGCTCGTAATTTATTCAGAGTAACATAAAAAATGCAAAGTCCCATGCGATTAACTTCTACCGGGTAATATTAAATTCAAAGTATTCTAATTGAGGGATTAATTGCCTTTGCGGGCGAAAGTACAGCGTTTGAAAAATTTCAATTAAATAATAATTTTAATTCCTGTTTTAGCGATTCATAATGTTAATGTAATGTTTCGAAAGAGCTTTTTTCTGCTTCGGTAAAGTTCACAAATCCGATCTGCTTATCTTTGAGCGAGTAACGGGCGGCTTGAAAGGGAACTTTTGCTACTGTATTTTTCGAAAGCTTTCACCGTGCTATTTTCTCGATCGCTTTGGTTTCCTTAATCTCACGCTTTGAGACTCCCACGGCTCGGACAATATAGGTTACACACGCGAGTTATAACCAGAGACGATGTAACGCGAGAATTACGACGGGGAATGTAATATCAAGCGACGAGAGATGACTATGGCGATGGAATTCGTTTAAGCATAAAAATTCCCAGTAGTTTCGGTCGGAATTTCTTTCATAATTAAATCGCAAGTTTTAAAACCGACCCCCGTCATAATGCACTCCTCCGTTCGCGTCATTATTATGGCACTGCGTAATGGTCGGGATACCTAACCTTAAATTGCATTTGGAGTATACGGAGTGAATACAAAGAATAATTATAATATAATAACGAGTGGGCGAGGGAAATAAGAATATTTCGCGTTCATAGCTATTATCGATATAGTCTGTGCATTTAGTGTCGGATAAGAGCCGCATTCGATCAGTCAAAACTAATCGATTGCAGCTTTCAGCGATCGATGTACAGTCGACCGCCATTTGCAATTCTGTCGACGATAAGAACTTATAAATATTCAAAGAGGAGCTAAATTCTGTTTAGAAATCGACGATATAAAATTTATAAATTAATTGCAGTTATGAACTATTCTTCGAATAATATATTTGGACTTCTAATTCTGTTGACGATGGTAAAAATTCTGTTTTACCATCTCATTAAGGATTTTCTGCAAATTTAAGTTTTTTGATCGAAGTATTGTTAATGGTATTTTTTTGTTTAGACGTACCTGGAACGTCGCGATCACAGGCAGTCGAGTAGCCAATAGAGTTGTTCGCAACGCAAACATATGTCCGGAAATTTGTTACCGAGGTATCGAGCCGAATGTAGCTTTTCCCATTTCGTATCTCGGCAATCTGTTCCAACGTGTCGTTGTCACTCTTCAAAGACCAAACGAAATCGGTCTCCTTTGGATTAGCTATCGCGGAGCACACCACGTAATCCTCGCCGCCTATTCGTTCCTTTTCCACCTGACATTCCGGCTTAACTGTGAAATTGAAAATGTTCGAATTTGACGTTGGTTTTCGGCGAACACGCCTCGCCTGAAAATACACTGGTCCCTCCAAACCGGAGTCGGGCAAAATTTCGTTCGAACAATAAATAACCCACAGCTATTCACTCGTGACGTTTACTCGATCTAACGGTTAAATATCTGTCGGTCCCGGATAACTGAAATGTTCACATTGCAGTTAAACGGGTCTTCGTTGCTCGACGCTTCCAAACAAGATTTTGCCCATTTTCGACGACGAAAAACTATCGGATGGGCTCTTTAGTTTAGAGTTAATACTATTTTTTAAACAAAAGATTTCTTTTGAGAATGGTTGCTCGATGTAATTTCGTTCGAACAATAAATAACCCATAGCTATTCGCTCGTGACGTTTACTCGATCTAACGGTTAAATTTGTGACGGTTCCAGATAATTGAAATTTTTATACTGCAGTTAAACGGGTCTTCATTTATTGCTCGACGTTTCCAATCAAGATTTTGTCCATTTTCGACGACGAAAAACTATTGGATGGGCTCTTTAATTTAGAGTTAATAATATTTTTTAAACAAAGGATTTCTTTTGAGAATGGTTGCTCGATGTAATTTCGTTCGAACAATAAATAACCCATAGCTATTCGCTCGTGACGTTTACACGGTCAAACCGTTAAATTTCTGTCGGTCCCGGATAACTGAAATGTTCACATTGCAGTTAAACGGGTCTTCATTTATTGCTCGACGCTTCCAAACAAGATTTTGCCCATTTTCGACGATGAAAAACTATCGGATGGTCTCTTTAGTTTAGAGTTAATACTATTTTTTAAACAAAGGATTTCTTTTGTGAATGGTTACTCGATGTAATATCGTTTGAACAATAAATAATTCATAGTTATTCACTCGTGACGTTTACTCGATCTAACGGTTAAATTTGTGACGGTTCCGGATAATTGAAATTTTTATACTGCAGTTAAACGGGTCTTCATTTATTACTCGACGCTTCCAATCAAGATTTTGTCCATTTTCGACGACGAAAAACTATCGGATGGGCTCTTTAGTTTAAAGTTAACACTATTTTTTAAACGAAGGATTTCTTTTGCGAATGGTTACTCGATTTAAATATTTTGCATGTTAAAATATACAGGATGTAAATATGAGAAAAATGTAGAGATACTGAAAATTTAAAAATCGAATTGCCTCCACATTTGTGAGGATACTCTGTACAAGGAGAATTGTTTCTATAATTGTTCCACAATCTGAGTATTTGTCACCGCGGAGCGGTGAAATTTTGCACATTTTGCTTACGTAACGAAGTTAAATTTAAAAGTGGAATTAAGAGAGGATGATAATATGTAGCGCGTTACCAGAAAGTGACGGAATAATGGAGGATATTAGTATGTATAAGATAATAGGATAATAGTATATAGGATTAAGAGAATCATGGAAACGTAACTCTCGCTGGCAGGATAAATGCGAAGTTTGTCCTATGTATTAAAATGTTTGCACGGAAATTATATCGCGTTATTACTGTAAACAGAATTTTAAATTCGTAATTCGTAATTACTGTTCCGTAATCCGGACCGAAAGTTTGTCGCGAATATTTCGTCGGCTCTTAATATTTATATTCGCCTAACGACCGTTCCGGCTCCACTTTATACCGGGTGGGTATGAAACTTAAAATTTCTAAAGAACGCCATCACCTTCGTCACTAAATAAAATTATATTTATTAAACGCAAGTGAAATATTTCTACAATTTTTTACATCGTGTATCAGTAAAGTATGTCTACACTTTTCTACGTTAAAAATTTGTTTACCCCCTTGGGATAAGTATTAAACTGATATAGAAATAACTGATGAAAATGCTAATTTTCCAGAGGGTTGATCGTTATTAATGTTTACTTTTTTCTTTTGTTAAAAAAAGCTATTTCTTTCGCTTGGAACGTTCAAGGGTTCGCAGACCGAAAATCTCTTTCAATATTTGAATGTCACTCGAAGCACGGGCTGCAAATGTTTCTTTACTTACATTGAACATTCATGACCATGGAAATGTTCCTGCTTCCATGGCGGTTCGATGCCTCGCAGTAGTAAGTTCCGCTGCTGCGCCGTGGCACCGGCACTTTTAAATCGAAAACACGACCCTCGACGATGGTGTCCGTGGAGCCCTCCCGAAACCAGCGGAACGTGGGCTCCGGATGCGCCTTCGCGTTGCAATTCACCGTTTCCGGTATCGTGTCCACGATGACGTTTATTATTTTCTTCGAGATCGTCATATTTTCCGGGGGAACTTGCGATCAAAAATTCATCTCCTTTAAACCTTAACTCTACATCGTCTGGATCGGCGTCGTTGCCAACCTAACTAATTTTTTAATTCTCGACTGGTATCGCGAAACATTTCAAAAATATGCTACTGAAAAATAAAAAACAATTTTACATACAATTTATCGTTTCCTCGCGACACAATTTTCATATACACTGTTTTCCCCCACTACTGCTACTTTCTTTTGCTGTTTTTAGCTTTCTTATATTTAGAATCGTGTACCGAATTACCCCTATTTTATTCTCATGGCTACATAAAATAACAGCGTAATATTATTATTTCCCCCACCACTACTATTTTCTTTTACTTAATATCATGCACTAAACGATTCTCTCATTAATAATAATTGCCGTAGTTACACAAAATAACAGAGCACAATATTACAAATAAAATAAATGCAATAGGGGAGTCAAAATACCCCCCGGAGTGGGGGGGTTAAAATTGTGTAAAAGAGAATAAAACTTGAGAAAATTTAAATTTAAAATTGCAGTGGGTTCGTTTTACCAAAATATTATTTCTTTTTTTAAGTCTTTTCGAAAGTTTCCCGTAGTCGATATCGTTTATCCGGGTAAAAACGTGCGTCAGTTATCCGGGTAGCGGTCTAACTCGTCGCACATTCGAGCGTGTACGATTTTAACGAGCGGCGTAGAATTATCCGGGAGCCCTTTATCAGTCAGTCTGTCGTTCAAGTAATCTCGCGTCGCTCGAAATCAAGAGGACTTACATTCCACGTGAAAGTGAGTGCTGCTGTTAACCCCGGAACCGATGCCATTGCTGCTGCTCTCGCAAGTGAATTGGACGTTGTTTTCGACCCTGTCTAGCTGACCGCCCGTCCAAGCGGTCAAGTTCCACACCAGGGTCGACTGGATGCTTTCGAAGTCGTTCGTTCGTGGATCGGGCGGGTGATAAACGTTCGACAGATAGTATCGATTCGTTTTTGAGAAATCCATAGGCACGCCGCCCTTCAGCCAGGAAATATTGCAAATGGGCGCGCACTCCACCCAGCACATGATGCTAACGTTCGGGGAATTGTACACGTAGCCGTGATAAGGGGGCAGTTTCTTGATAAACTCGGGCGCCGCTATTGACAATCAAAGAACAAGTTCAACTGCCTTTACCATCCATTACTCTCGGAGATAAGGGCACTACGTTCCGTCAAACTCGATTTACCCCGTTTCTGAATACCCCACCCACCCTCGCGGTCCACCGGAGTTTCGAAATTATTTCTCTGCTCGACTTTTCACAATTGTTTTCCAATTTTTAAATAAAAATTTGGAAAACAGAGGGGGTGAACATATTCGAAAATGCTTTTGTCTACTTTACAAAACTCCAAAAACAGTACAGGTCTTGTACATTTCTCGATATTTTTAGTAATTTAAGAGTTATACGAGTTCGAACAAAATGGCTCGCTCTGAATGCAAGGGTAGGTTTTGTTTAATTGTTTCTCTATTTCTAGATATTTCAGTTTCAAATTAAAATTTCAGATATCCTTCTCTTTTCGAAAATACTTTTGACTAATTTACAAAACTCCAAAAACAGTACAACAACTGTAATTTAAGAGTTAAACAAGCACGAATGAAACAGGTAACTCTGAATACAAGGGTTCTACCCTTATGGTGGAAAAATAGCAACTAGGAGTCGTTGAATGGGCAAAGTTTCACGAGAGTCTGAAAGGAATTTTTTTAATTACGAAACATTCCACTTAAGATTTAAAAAAAATAATAGAAACTACCTAAGAGACTAAATATGGAGAACCGTATGCAATTACAAAGAAACAATTGCACGGTTTTTCGTCGTTCTGTTCCCAACGATTTCTGAGCAAAAGTCATTCTCAGCCGTCTAAGCGATTCCAATATATTCACGGTGCTCTCTAACCGGTCCCAAAGTTAACGTCACGCGAAAGACGTATCGCGGATTTATTCGTACCGGGAATTAGAAACTTTTTCAAGCAACTTTACAACAACTCACCAGACACGTCGATAAACGTGGTGGCCGGGTCGCCGTCGCCGGCTTCATTGTAAGCGAGACAAGTAAAGTTCGCTTCAGTTTCCAAATTAACCGACTCGATGGTTAGGGTAGCATTGTTTTCATCCGGAAGTCTGTGAAGGCCTCGTAACCATTTGAAGCCAACTACCTTTGGTCGTCCTGGGTCCAGGACCGAGCACGTGATGGTCAATGGTCGCTCCTTTATTACCCGCTGAGGTTCGTACGAGATCGAAGCCGGGCCAGGTTTGTCTATCGTTTGCAACAGTAAAGGAAATCGTAATTTGAATTTCACCGGTTCTAGCTCGACTCCGGAATATATCCAACGTCAAACTTCTTTAAACCGAGCTCTAAAAGTACTTTTCCGGGCTCGTATGTTTTCCCTAATTTATTTCAAGTATATGAATTTTAATTGGATTCAAAATGGGTCCACTCTATGTTAAGTTAAAACTTCATATGTCGTTCTATAAACGATAGAAATGAAAATAAATTCCATTTCCAGAAATCCAGACTTTGAACACGTTTTAAGTATTTCAATCCACCGGTCAGAAATGTAGATTGAAATAGACACACGCAGAATTTCAGAATATGATATTGGAAATGCAACACAAAGGATAGGAGCGTTTCGTGTTGGGCCTGCTGGTGGATTGATCACTAAACCAGTCGAGACTACAAATGGGTGGTCGTTCGAGCGTAGCCCCCTGCTGGCGAGCGCGGGAACTGTCACCACAATAGTTTAATCTACAGTTTAGAAACGAAGTATTTGTGTATATTAAAAACAATTCTTTTCAATTTTGTAATCTATAATACACGTCTATAAGAAACGTCTCGTAAAATCCCCCGAAAAAACAGATGTTTCTAGTTCCATGCTCCGCCATTTTACCCTACATAACCTCTGTTCTACTCCTTACTGAATTTACATTATTTTTATTTTGGAAGATCGCTGATACGACTCGACGGGAGTTTTTGATACGAATAATTATTTTATCAGAGCGCTGCGTGGATGAAATTTTCAGCCCCAAGTTTGGGGGAAGATTCGAGGCGTCCGCACCTCCGAATCCTAGTAGCGGCAAAATAATTTAGATCAACGGGCTGAAAAGTCTCCCGGAGCCCGGAAAAAAGATTGGATCAAGGAATTAAAAATTAAAGCTCACAATGGACTATAACGGGCGCACTTGGCGAAAGTGGCCCCCAGCCAGCGTCGTTTCTGCCCTCGCAAGAGTAGTTCCCGTGAGAGGAACGTCCCACAGCTTCCAGCAGCAACTTGCTCGGGTCGATATCGCAGAAAATTAAAGATTCCTCGGTCGTCGTCGTGGTCGCGGTGCTATTTCTCGAGCAATCCGGAAGTTCTTTCAGCAGGTCACCGTCCAAATACCATCGGACGGCGATCAGGCTCGCTGGATTTCCAGAAACAACTTCGCAGGCCAAAGAGACGTTCAAACGGTCTGCCTCGTTCACGGGCGCCTTTGGATCCATTACCACTTCTACCACCGGTTTATCTATGGACAGACAAACAATGAAACGATAGATTATTGATACATTACCCAGGGAATCAGAATATGTTCGAAACATGGTGGTTCTTGAAGGCTACGGGGGTCTGGGGTTATTCGTGACCCCAGAATTTTCTAAATAAATGAAAATTCATTTTGTGAAATAATCGCAGAAAATGGTACTGATATGCCTTAATGTTATCACCAAAAATGATTTTACTTTATTCAATTCGTTTGTAGGTTTGGTAAGAATATTTTGTTAATTACAATGGTCTATCTTGCGTTCTTAAAAATCCAAGTTCAAATTCGAGATGCATTAATTCTCTTCAGGATTTTGAAACTTTTAATTTCCGTACAAATTTCTGTACGAACGATTTAAAAATAATTCTCAAGCGTCCCTCCATATTGAAATTTGTTTCTTTTTTGTGAAACGTGTATACGATAACTGCAAAACGGTTAAACCGATTACCATCCAAATTTGTGCCAATATTTCTTGTAACGTTCCATTTCGGCTCGCGAGCGGTTTTTCCCCACTTTTAATTCCGTTCATTGGTTATTACGAACGCGGGCAATCAATTTCGAACGAGAATCGAATTTTCAACTTTTAATCTATCGTTCTCGGGCGAAAAAAAAAGCTAAATATTGCGCGAGGTTTCCGCGAAACGGGGGGAAAAACATCGAAGAAACTTTTTCGTTCCGTTTTATTCCGATAAATCGGAAGAGTTGAAAAATCTGTTCCGAGGAATATAGGTTAGGTTCATTACCATTTAAATTGTAAATACTTCGCTGTAATTTGTTCTCTAATACATTCGAATACAATTTGTTCTTCAGCGAATGTTGACCGGTTTCTGTGAGCTTCTGCTGGTCTCTGCATGCCTTTGCTGACCACTGCTGACCATTTCTGATCTATCTGGCTATGTATAATGATTACTGCTTGCCCCTGCTGGTCTCTGCTAGCTTCAGTTTGGCCTTTGTAGCTGGCTTCTGCTGACCACTAATGACGACTCCTGATATTTCTGACAACGTATAACGATTACTACTGGCTATGGCTAGCATCTGCCTTTGATGGTCTTTGCGTGCATCTGCTGACCACTGCCGACACTTCTGAGATGATATATACGTAATAACGTAGTAACGTAAGTATCAAGAGTGATCTGCAGTGGTCAACTGAGGCACGCAGAGACCAGTAGAGGCAAGCAGAGGTTAGCAGTAGTCAGTAGCAGTAGTTATACGTTGTCAGAAATATCAGAAGTGGTCAGCAGGAGCTCCCAAGGGGCAGCAAAGGCCAGTGGAGGCAAACTGAGGCTAGCAGAGAACAGCAGGGACAAGCAGTAGCAAGCAGTAATCGTTACAGGTTGTCAGACGTATCAGGAGTGGTCATCAGTGGTCAGCAGGAACCCTCAAGGGGCAGCAAAGGCCAGTGGAGGCAAACTGAGGCTAGCAGAGACCAACAGAGACAAGCAGTAGCAAGTAGCAATCGTTATACATTGTCATAAAGTATCAGGAGTGGTCATCAGTGGTCAGCAGAGGCCAAACTACTTTATGATGGACTATACCACTGTCGACGACCAGAATGCCCAAGCTTGTCGAGAAGTAGTTCGTTCCGTACAGCGGTAGATGGAGGTGCCAAATATAATAGATCAAAAAATTGTTAGTTTCATTTAACTTTTTCATAAGCTTGTTATGTACGTTACGAGAAGGCAAATGTGAGCCTTTCTCTCTCAACCCCCACGAGACGGTCCGAAATTACTTCGGGCAGCCTCGGGGAATCGAGAAAGAGGGCATGTATCAGTTTGTCTTTGTCGACTTTACGAAACTCCACGAGCACACGTACGCGTGATTTGATATAGTGTGAGAAAGTGGAACGAGGTGTCCCCGGCGCACCCGGGGCTGCGTCTGGCATCTCTGGATCCAATCAGCAGATTGGCCGGAACATTTTTTTTATCCGCGAGGTAATCAAGATTTCACCAAGTTCAAAACAAAAGAATTCGGCAACCGTCCGGCCGAAGTTTGCTCGGGCAGAAGGCGGAAGCAACAATGGCGGAAAGGAGGCGGTTTGGAGGGCGGAGAGGTGGGGCCAACTAATTTTCTGCGTTCGAATTCTCCCCGGCCGGTTCCCATGAATTATTTGGCAGGGAATACAACACCCCCGAGCGGTATTAAGGCTTGCAATTAGAATTTCATTGTATCGCCGTCGAGCTTACGGCGACGCGATGTTAACTTTACGGGGATATGGAACGGTTGACCCACTAAACCAATAACCAGCCAAGGAGGGAAGGCTCGTTTAATCCACGACGAAACATTAACGCTCGCGGAACCGGGTCCTTTTCGTCCCGATAAACGCTCATCGTCGCTTTTCAACCGCCTCTTGCTCTTTCTTTGTCCCGATCGGTGCTGTGTTCGCACATTTTGGCGCCCGGAGCAACGACCACAGGAGCAACTCTCGTTTCATACGAGGCGTTTAAAAAATAATACAAAATTTGCGAAGCTGAATTTGTGACGGTTCCGGATAATTGAAATTTTTATACTACAGTTAAACGGATCTTCATTTATTGCTCGACACTTCCGAACAAGATTTTGCCCATTTTCGACGAAGAAAAGCTATCGGATGGTCTCTTTAGTTTAGAGTTAATACTATTTTTTAAACAAACGATTTCTTTTGAGAATGGTTACTCAATGTAATTTCGTTCGAACAATAAATAACCCATAACTATTCACTCGTGACGTTTACTCGATCTAACGGTTAAATTTGTGACGGTCCCGGATAACTGAAATGTTCACATTGCAGTTAAACGGGTCTTCGTTGCTCGACGCTTCCAAACAAGATTTTGCCCATTTTCGACGAAGAAAAACTATCGGATGGGCTCTTTAGTTTAGAGTTAATACTATTTTCTAAACAAAGGAATTCTATTGCGAATGGTTACTCGATTTAACTCTCGTTTCATACGGGGCGTTTAAAAAATAATACAAAATTTGAGAAGCTGAATTTACACTCCAAAATGAGTAAAAAATTTCGTGTAAACGGACACACATCTATGGTATTTTACTTTTTGAGTTACTAAATATTTATAATTTGAGATATTTATTTTCATCAGGACCTTTTTTTTTAAACTCGTGGTCTGAATATTTCTGTTTACCTACAAATTTGAATTAACACGTTCACTGTCCATGACCCGTATATGGGTCACACCATCACGCTATTGGATACGCCGCTGAGAGACAGGACACTGAACGTGTTAGCTTCAAAAATTGAATTAACAAAATTCCATAAAACGTTAAGTTAGACGTTTCGTAATGAATAAAAGTAATAAGATGGCGGGCGGAGAAGAAAGTCAGAAAAGATTTCGTAGTCTATTGGCGACAAGAAACCTTCCAAACAATGAAATTGCCCATTGCGTTGAATTAACACGTTCACTGTCCATGACCCGTATACGGGTCACACCACCACGCTATTGGATACGCCGCTGAGAGACCGGACAGTGAACGTGGTAGCTTCAAAAATTGAATTAACAAAATTCCATAAAACGTTGAGTTAGACGTTTCCTAATGAATAAAAGTAATAAGATGGCGGGAGGAGAAGAAAGTCAGAAAAGATTTCGTAGTCTATTGGCGGCAAGAAACCTTCCAAACAATGAAATTGCTCATTGCTCGTGGGAAGATTTATGAAACGGTTTGTGCAACTACCACGAAGACGGTGTCCCCGTTAATTAACCAACACTTACATAATACGGAGACTTCAACGATATCTTCCGATTTCGACGGCCCGACGTTATTGTCTAGAATGCATCTGTAAGAGCCTATGTCGCTGGGCGTTGCATTTTTCACAGTCAGGGCAGTTTGTTCCGTGATTCCTCCCTCGTAGTGGTCCTCCGTTAACACTAATTCCTCACCGTTTCGCAACCTGTAACACAAACACAATATTTTAGGTTATGAAGTTTTCCGAATATTTTCAGTGGCAAATGTTTTATTTGAACAATTCTGTTTTTCATCCCTTCGTTGACTCGATAGTCTTGTGGTAGAAAATTATACATCGTTTTATAATTTAAAAATATTTCATCGATACTATGAGAATTCTATGGTACAACAATTTCTGAATAGGATCGTGGAAATTTTAAAACGATCGCAAACAATGGGGTCGATTTAAGACCGTTCTCGTTCCAAGGAAAATGGCGTCTCCGTTTGCTAAGTATCCAGCTGGCTGAGCTGCTACCCAGAATTCCCGTTCCGATCTTTATGTGGAAAACTCCCGGAAAATAGGGAATATTTGCTGACAAGTTTTGGGGAAACTTCGGATGTAAAGTAAAGGTTAGAAAACAGGTTAGCGTTCCGAGAAACGTTAAGTCGGACTCCAAAATGGCCGAAGTTCGCAGTAACCTAAAGACAAACGGATAACGAAAATGGCGGGGGGGGGCTTGATATTTAAATTATTGCAAATTCCATCGATCCTACACCCTAAATAACGCAACAAAGTTAAACGTTGTTTCTAGAGGGATGGAAAAAATTAATCTCTGCGTGGAAAGGAACGTTAACGAATGAAAGCATGTTATAATCGAAAAAATAAATAAACCCCGGAACCGTCACGAACGTTGCTATAATTAATTTATGGTTCGCGTATGAAACTTCGAAACATGCTTCGTAAGGCCACGTTGCGTACTAATGAGGCATATTCGTTGGAACAAAGAGAACGCGGCGGAGGGGTTCACGTGAGGCTGAACACGGAGTATGGCGCGACTATTAAACGAAAAAGAACAAAAGCCGCGTGCACGCGTATTAAAACAGCGAGAAAATTTACTTGGACAAGCAAATGCATGCAAATATTTGTCATCTAACTATTTAACTCGCGAAAAAGCTTTTTTTACTATTTTTATTAACATATAATATAAGCAATATTTTTTACGAGTTCCTCTTTTTATAGACGCGTTTAACGTTAATACGTGCTGTAGAATGGTCGTTTGTTTCTGCAATTTGTTTTTTTTTTTTGTGGTGCTCTTTTTTTTAAAGCGTGATCTTGTTCGTTTTTGTCGAAGCGTGTCTGGCTATTTTTTGGACGAAATATTTTTCTAGGGAACCCGGTATCGAAATTCTCGCTACATGCATCAGCGTGAAATATGGTTTTTAGAGCGGGCTACAGAAATATATAATAAATCATCCCCCATAGATTCGCGCCTTCCTATTCGGACGTTTCGAGTGCTGCTGTTGAGTGATGTACGCGGATACTCGAAATCCTTGCTTGTCAGGGCTCCTACGATCTAAGTAAAGATCCTATCGTTCGGCGCCATCGCGATTTACAAGAGGAAATCAAAGGTACACCAGTGCCAAGAAATTTATCGTTACGAGCAATTTTTACAAATCCCACGTAATTACAGAGAGTTTCAGAATGTTTGAGAATTTTGAAAATGTATTTTCAACGAAAACTGAAGGCTGAGAAATTTTACAAATTTGTTTACAAACAAAGAAACAGAATTTGGGATATTTTATTTTTAATAATAACGAAACCGGTGTGGGGAAGAAAATTATTCCACGAATTAATTTGATGTTTTTGTTTGGTATCGCCGAACGAAATTTGTCGATTTAGTGCGACAAAATATATTCTTTCGAATAGTCGAATACAGTGGAACGTTGATTATAGAAAATAATAGGGGCACAGAACATTATCGATAAACGAATTTTCCCCGCGAGATCGAAAATTTGAAAAAAAAATGGCAAAATTTTATTCGAATTACGTCCATTCGAAATCCTGGAATTTCTTAATCCAGAAAATATTCGTACAACAATTTATTCAAAACCAAAGGCAGAAAATTATTTCTGATAAAAGATAATACATTTCCAAATTCTGCCCTTTGCAGATGTCTGTTTCAAAAACTGACTTCAAGCTTCGTTATTAAAAGTGTTCAATAATTTCCAGGAACAAGAAGTAAATTGAAACTGTAATTAAAATTTCATTCGCAATTTTAAACATCGTTTTGTCCGTTGCGTACGACAGAATCCATTTCCGTGAAAATGTTTAAATCCACTTTTGTGCGGAAATTAATTCCAAAATTATTTCGAAATTTAATCGCTTATCGCTACACGTTTTTAGATTGTAACGTTAAAATTCAAAATAATCCATCGTTTGTTTCGCTCACCATGCGACTTTCGTCAGCGTGGCTGGGTTGGCCTCGTAGTCGCAAAATATTAGGAAATCTTCGGTTTCGTTGACGGTGATGTTGTCTGGCTTCATTCTAACTATCGGTGGATCTGTAACAAAAGTAACGGACAACAAATTTAAGCAATTTTCGATTTATTTCACGGAGAATCCTAAATAAAATATTCCCGTAATTTTTAAAATTGTTCACAAATATTTTACAGTATTGTCAAGCTCAGCTTAGATATTAAAAAGATTATTTCTTGAGATATACACCCGGTACAATGTTTACTTTCCATTAATTTTTGCCACGAGGAATTTTCCTGCTGTTGCTGTATCTCGCGGGACACGCTATATTTCCTTTGCTATTGTCGGCTAAATTCCGGGCACATATTTTCCGATATTCCTGTGCATCGTACTTTGAAGATTTTCTACAGCGTTCGTTTGCGCGGCTGGAGAATACTTGAAACTTTTAAACTCCTTCCTGGACTTCGTTTTTCAGCGCCACGAGGGGCTACAGGTTCTCCACTTCCCCCCCCTGGAATCTAAAATCTGTCGTCGTACGAAACTTCTCCATCTTCTTTTTTCTTCCCCCCCCGATAACATTATTCGTCTCGGTTATCGATGTAAAGGAATAAATAAAAAGTCAAGTCTCCCAGCATATTCACCCCCCCACGTTCCAATTTCTGATCGACTCTAAACAAAATTAATAGAACCGCGATCGATCGTGACGTCGAAAGGGAACTGAAAACAATTTTCGTTTCGATTTCGGACGGCTCGCGACGAAAATAAAACGAAAATTTTACACAAAACAAACGCGACGGGTTTCTTTTTTCTATATTTCCAACGATATCACAGATTTGATAACTTCACGGTTTCGTTCGTTTCACGCGAGACAGTAAATTTCCATCTTCTTTTTTCTCTCCCCGGCGCAGTATATCATTCAATTTGGCACAGTGTTCTCTGACGTCATATTTTCCAAGTTGCTCTTTTTACGCGATACGTGCTCCCGCATAAAACCTTCGTGAAATAAGGCCCTCTCGACGACACTTTTTCAACTTCTCTCAGATTCGTCCTTCATCCATCGTTAATTAACTTGCCCATATTTTACAATCAAAATTAGAAAAAAATAGAAAAAAAATATGAGATGATAAAAGAGATCTTTAAAATCATAATGGAATTAGAACGTCTTTCATGCATTGTGAAAAGTAACATTTTTAGGGTCCAATTGCAAAAATAAATATTCCAGTCTGCCTTGGTTTAGGAGATGTGCGGTGGTTAGAAATACAGTAGATCCTCTGTAACGTGTTAAACGAGAATGGTCCACGACCAATGGTTAGTCTTCCAGCGGCGTATTTGTCTCTTTCCGAAGATACAGAGGGGAGGGGGGAAACTCAATTATTCGTGCACGTATAGTTCTACTATTGGTGTGTTTCTTCAGGCGTGCAATTACAAATTGTGCCATTGAAGGGCTACTTTGGTCTGTTGAATTTCCCATTCGACTATTTTTGCTTTGTAAATATTTAAAATCTAGATCGCTAAATTACCGACCATAGTATCGCTCGTTTAAAAAAAAGTAAATACTGTCTGGCAGAGACGTCTAAAGATCGTACTTTCGAATAATTAATTGGAAATACTAAAAAAACTTCGATAAAAATAATTGCTATCACAGTGACAGGGAGAACGAAATTCGGGTGGAATAATGGTGGAAAATTGTCTTTATATTTCTTGACTGGAAGAATCGTGTCAGAATCAGACGTACGAAAATGAAATTAAACTCGATTCAAGTACTAATTCCATCAAAAACTACTCCAAAACTCTAATAATTATCGGTGCTTTATTAAAGCGGTAAGATTTGCCCCGGTACCTTTTGAACCTGTTAATTAATAAAGTACCGATTTTATCCCCTTCAAAACCTAATTGCACCCTTTAACAAACCTCTCGTGTGCGTTCTCGACCGGAATATGCGGGCGTCGCGTGGCCTTTTCACCAGAAAGGGTGCGTTGTAAATTATAATCGTGGATTCGATACGCATAGTCGTACCATGTTTCCCCACAAAATTCCTAACGGTCGAATAAGCCGTCCTCAGAGCCATTCTCGAGCTAATTAAACTCGATACTGCTTTTCTAGACACTTTCTACGACTTCTTTACTCGCAGTATAAACTTTTACCAGTATCCATCTTGGATACTCACTGATCCGACCGCAGGAATTTGCTCCCGGTAGAAATTGCTTAAGTTCAAACACTCGTTAAACCTCTAAACCTTAAAGGTGAGGTCTAATAGATCCCTTACTCGATAATAGTATAACACCTTTAAACAACTTTGGTTTTCAAATCCACATTATATTCTTTCCAGTATATAATAAGAAAAATGAGTGGAAAATTATTTGGCGAAATTGAAAAATTTCAAATCATATTGAAAAAATTCTTTTAGGTTGCAAGAGTCAATTACAATCATTTTTGGTGAATAGACATTGCCCCGAAATCCTATCCACTTTCGAGAAAAAAATTCAGGGAAGGGTCGAATTTTTCGACGAAATAAAAACATTTCAAATCCTTTTAAAAAAATTATGTTTAGTTGCAGGGTTCAATTACAATCATTTTTGGTGAATAGAGATACCCCCGAAATCCTATCCACTTTCGAGAAAAAAATTTAAGGGTGGAGACAAATTTTTCGAAGAAATAAAAAAATTATGTTTAGTTGCGGGAGTCAATTACAATCATTTTTGGTCTATAGACATTTCCGCGAAATCCCATCCATTTTCGAGACAAAAATTCAAGAAGGTGGACAAATTTTTCAACGTAATTACAAAATTTAAAATCCTTCTACAAAAATTATGTTTAGTTGCGGGAGTCAATTACAACCATTTTTGGTCTATAGACATTTTCCCGAAATCTCATCCATTTTCGAGAAAAAAATTCAGCGGAGGAGACAAATTTTTCGACGAAATAAAAAAATTTCAAATCCTTCTAGAAAAATTATTTTTAATTGCGGGAGTCAATTACAATCATTTTTGGTATATACACATTCCCCCGAAATCCTATCCACTTTCGAGAAAAAAATTAAGGAAAGGTGGCAAATTTTTCAACGAAATAAAAAAATTTCAAATCCTTTTAAAAAAATTATGTTTAGTTGCGGGAGTCAATTACAATCATTTTTAGTGAATAGACATACCCTCGAAATTCTACGCATTTTCGAGAAAAAAATTCTTCGCTGAGAATTTAATGTCTGACCTGAACAGGAATGTTTCCCTGAAATTTCATAACTTTTGAACGGATTGGAGGATTTTAATATTGCAAAATACAAACAACGCGTATTAAGGGGGCTCTATAGCCCCTGAAAAATGAGCTGAAAAAATACATTGGATGTAAGGTCTACTCGTATACTTCGTATGTGGTTCTCACTCAAAACTTCAAAACTATCGATACGCAAATAAGTATATTTTCTCATGCTGAGTGAGAACCACTGTCGCAGCTGTTCGCAGATTGCCATTCTACAGGCGTAACGTTAAACTTCACGTTTCAACGAAGCCTCGATCAACAAATCGCTATTCTCGATTTTCGTCATAATTTGTCCTCTAGAAACTTCCATTAAAATTTTTCCCAGAATTGGCCAAACACCCTGCATTAATCCAGAGAAAAGACACGTTTTAATTAAAAAAAAAATAGACAAGGTCATGATGTTGGAATTGTTTCGAGCACCGTCGTCCAAGGGATCGGGAAACGGCTTCGCGGCGTTTCTATTTCCATTGATGGCGAGGAGGGGTGTGCAGAGGGAAATGCGTCGTCTGCGGAACGTCTGGGATTAAAACAACGCCAGCGCGGATGGAGAAGTCCTAGGAAACGCCAGGGCGCAGGTTCGTCCGCGTTCCGAGATATGTTTAAACGCGGCAGCGCAAAATGCCGGGGCATAAAACAAAACTCCCCGGGTAAGTACGTAGTCGCGAGAGTGGCGTGTCTAAGGGGAGAGAAGTTGGAGCCGCGCCAGCTTTCGAGTTTCTCGTTTCCAATCCGTAGATAGCTTTCGGGGTGCCGTGGTACAAAACGAAACTTCCGACAGTCGGTCCGCGACGTAACTGGAAACATCAACGAGATGTACCGGGGCGTGCTATCTATCTTCCTTTTTCCTATCGCCGCGTCGGGATCTTTCGGTCCACGCGCCCGGGTAATTGAAAGATACAAGAAGTTCCTTATAAGCGGGTACCGGGGATCATCGAGATCCCCGTACGTACGGGATTTCACGCTTTCCGCGACGCGTTATCGCGAGATCGGCCGCGCGGGGAACCCCTTATCGATGGAAAGCGTAGTTAAGAGGGCGCTGAAGTCAGATTTTTGATCGTGCACACGCGTTCCTTTGAATCCCATCCAACCATTCAGCTCGAGAGATTCCGCGCGTTGCTGGGTTATTTCTTTGGACGCGTTTATCTTTTGAGAAACATCTACCCGGAATATCCGTTTGGATTGTTGTAACGAGATATGTGGCATACGATGATAACCGAGAGGTAAAGAAAATGGTTTCCTTTAGCTTTGGAAATTTATTTCCAGACATTGTTGGTTATAGTTGCATGATACTTTATAGGTTTAATCTGCACATTGAAATACTAAATAAATGAGAAAATGGACTCCATGGAGAGAAAACAAAATGGAGTATGTAAATTTTTATATACAAAAGCTGAAGATACAGGGAAATAGTGAATAGATATGATGGGGTAACTGAAAGGAAAAGGAAACGATTTCTTTTTGCTTTGGAAATCTTTTTACAAACTTTGGATTGGTAAATTGTTGGTTATAGTTGAAAGATTTTTAAGTGTGATTGTATAATTTGGTTGGCTTCGATTCGATACTTGATAAGGTTTAATATGCACACTAAAATACTAAATAAACAAGAAAATGGACTCCATAGAGTGAAAATATGGAGTATGTAAATTTTTATACAAAAAGATGAGAATACAGAGATATAAATGCATTCTTTTGTCTTTGGAAATTTTTTTTGCAGACTTTGGATTGATAAATTGCTAGTTATAGCTGCATAATATTTGATAAGTTTAATCTATACACTAAAATATTAAATAAATGGAAAAATAGACTCCACAGAGTGAAAACAAAATGTGGTATGTAAATTTTACTATACAAAAGACGAAAATACAGAGAAACAGTGAATAACCTCGTTTCCAGAATAAAAATTGTGCACCAATCGTCCAGGCAGATTTCCAAGGTGCGTGACTGTGACTATGACTAGCAGTCTAATCATCATTCGAGTCATAAAGAAACGAGTCCAGGAGACCAGAGAGGATTCTGGTGGGCGTAAAGAAGTTTTCTCTTGGGTCATCTTTCCCGCTGGAGTTTAATACGACTCCTTCAAGGATAGGACCCCGAAGTCTTTTAATCCGCCAAGCGACAAGATTTTTTCAGACTTTATTGGATCGCCGAGTAACGGATAGATACGAGATCAGAGATACATTATCCTTCGATGGTGACGAGTTCGAAGCCAAAAGTGTCATCCCAACGCTTTTAATAAATTTAACTATTTAAAAAACATACGTTCCTGAAAATTGATGAAGTCGAGAAAAAAAATAATAAAATTACAAAATACGAGACCAGAGATACATTATTCTTCGATGGTGACAAGTTCGAAGCCAAAAGTGTCATCCCAACGCTTTTAATAAATTTAACTATTTAAAAAACATACGTTCCTGAAAATTGATGAAGTCGAGAAAAAAAAAAATGAAATTACAAAATACGAGACCAGAGATACATTATTCTTCGATGGTGACAAGTTCGAAGCCAAAAGTGTCATCCCAACGCTTTTAATAAATTTAACTATTTAAAAAACATACGTTCCTGAAAATTGATGAAGTCGAGAAAAAAAAAAATGAAATTACAAAATACGAGACCAGAGATACATTATTCTTCGATGGTGACAAGTTCGAAGCCAAAAGTGTCATCCCAACGCTTTTAATAAAAACTATTTAAAAAATTCACGTTCCTGAAAATTGATGAAGTCGAGAAAAAAAAATAATGAAATTACAAAATACGAGACCAGAGATACATTATCCTTCGATGGTGACGAGTTCGAGGCCAAAAGTGTCATCCCAACGCTTTTAATAAAACTATTTAAAAAACTCACGTTCCTGAAAATTGATGAAGTCAAGAAAAACAATAATAAAATTACAAAATCTTGTCTATGAAATAGATTTCTATTTTTCGACTATTAGATTCGTCTTGGGTATTAGAAAACCTTTTTCTGCAACTCTAAGGCGAACGTAAGGTGACTCTATTGTTTCCTCGCCCTGTAATTCTCCATCCTTTTCGCGTTACGGAGCCTCGTCGACCATTGATCTGCTTCGTTTAATTGAAACTATGGTCGCGCCTTTTGTCCACGGTGAAAAAGCAAATTGGAAAGCGTGGAGCAAAAAAGGAATATATACACGCGTGCGTAGCGTAACTTAATTCCGGGTCGACTATGTTCGGCGTTGATCGAGCATCGCAAAAAATTCGATCGAAGAATGTCAAGAACGTTAAGTACTTTTATTCTTTCGGATAGCTAAGGCTAAATTAGAGTCGACTATTTACGACCTATTTGCTCCTCGAATCGTTTCCCCCTCTCCCCAACCCCTGGAGAAATTTCCTTTTAATCGTACCTTCTTGTATTTTCGTGGCAGATAAACGTTCGAGCAACGATAACGACAATGGCGGATCTAAAAGCCTTTTCCTTCCTTATTCTGCACGAATTCAAACCTATTTCACGACACTTGAATCCCACTGTGGCCTAAATAATTGTTTTTTTTTTAACTCCTCCAGAAGGGTGTCCCTTAATTTCAGATTTATAATAATTTGAAGAAAAAAAACAGAATTAAATATAATTTTTGGAAGCTCCCTCCCTCCTTAAAAGGGAAAGAATTCCTTTTGAAAATTGAATCCTTCTGAAACACGTCGTCGAAATTTAATAATAAACGTCGCTATTATTTGCATATGTAGAGGGTGATCCAACCGTGTCGTAACGTTCTTCATGGCGAGACGGTACTCGTTTGACAAAATGCTTCGACTATCGCGTCATGTGTACGTTAAGAACGATAATTTATCTGGGAACATTGCACTTCTTCTTCTTTATTGTGCACGCCACCCTCCTCGTTACAGCCATGACTTTCTGCCGTGGTAGACATTTCAAGCGTAAGAAATCGCTGTTTAGAAACAGTCAACTTTAGTAATTTGATTTGTAAAATTTAAAGCTGTTTCGAGACTCCCTGCTTCAACAAATGAAATGGCTACTTCTTCCTTTGCGCGTATAGAGAATTTTACGATTTTGTTGGCTATCTTGGAACATCGAAAATAACAAACAATCGGCAATTTTTGATATCTGGATGGAATACCTTCTGGTTTGATATATATTTTTTATTAAAATCGAGAAATGAAAGAAATCGGGGCGTCGAATCTCGGACCGATACCAATATCTCCCCTTTGTTGCATTCCATAAACGGTGAAAGTAATATTAGAACGGGTTTTCATTACTTCGAAGAAATCAATATTCCATTTATTTACGAATATCGTGAAAATAATGGATTGAAATACTTTTTCAAATATTTATATTTCTTTTAAATAAAATTTGCCCAGCTTTGTACGAGTTTACTGGGACGGCGTAACAGGGGGTATTGTAAAATATTCACCAAAAATGATTGTAATTGACACCTGCAACGGAAAATAATTTTTCCAAAACGATTTGAAATCTTTTTTTTCCATCGAAAAATTTCACACGTTCTCGAATTTTTTTCTCGAAAATGGATAGGATTTCGGAGGTATATGTATTCACCAAAAATGATTTAAATTGACCCCTGCAACCGAAAATAATTTTTTCAGAACGATTTGAAATTTTTCTTATCGTCGAAAAAAGGCATCTAATTAGATTTTCGGTAAAGAATTTTTTTCTCGAAAGTGCGTAGGATTTCGGGGATATGTGTAATGACCAAAAATGATTGTAATTGACTCCCACAACCGAAAATAATTTTTCCAAAACGATTTGAAATCTTTTTTTTCCATCGAAAAATTTCACACGTTCTCGAATTTTTTTCTCGAAAATGGATAGGATTTCGGAGATATGTGTATTCACCAAAAATGATTGCAATTGACCCTCACAACCGAAAATAATTTTTCCAGAACGATTTGAAATTTTTTAATTTAATTGTTAATAACTTTTTAACGAAGTCTCCATCAACAAATTAGTATTCTTGATTTTTGTCTTATTTTGACCTCTAGAAATCTTGAAATTTTTCCCAGGGATGGCCAAACACCCTGTATAGTGTGTACGAAGAACACTGGTAGAAATATTTAATTCTATGTGGAATATTGACGAAGTCTATATCGATATTAATCGAAGAAAAAGCGACGTTAGAGATTTGTAAAGCACACGTCCCGTGCTTCCGCGTAAAGAGAAATATAAAAGGGAATTGGGAAAAGTAGGTTCGTTATGGCGACTGAACGGAACCCGAAAGTTGTACTTACATAAAACTTCGATCGTCATCGTCTCTTTCATTGGTTCCAGGTTGTCGGAACGCGTAACCGAGTTCTCAGCATGACACTTGAAGGTTCTACCGTTATCGTACTCCGAGGCGGTAAAAGCCAGATAACTTTGAGTTTCCGACGTGCCATCTTCCTGCGAACAAAAACCATCAAACGAACGTTAAATTCGCGCGCCAACGTGTTTGTTAACAAGCATTTCATAGCGATATAAATTTCAGCTTTTCTCGCCAGACACATATCCACGTACGAATAGTAAAATTTAACTAAGAGAAAAGAATCTTTACAATTTTGAACACCGAAATTTATTTGTTTTCGGTACACACAAATATATAATAACATATATAATATATATATTTTAAAGCGTTTATAAGGTTTGGAATTGCAGTCGCGATCTAGTCTCAAATTGGGCGCCATTTTGGCAGTTTGCTTTGGACCCCGTAAGATGGCGCTGCATATGAGTCGAAATTAAAATTGAATTTTTAAGCTGAATATACATATATATATAAAGCTGATAAATGTATATATATAAATTTAAGCTGAATATACATATATATATATAGCTTAATATATAAAATATAAATATAAAATATTTAGCTTAAAAATTCAATTTTAATTTCAACGCATATGCAGCGCCATCTCACGAGGTCCAAAGCAAACTGCCAAAATGGCGCCCAATTTGAGACTAGATCGCGACTGCAATTCCAAACCTTATAAACGCTTTTAATTTATTATACGGGGGATTCAATAATAGAGATTTCCAATGCACCTGAAAATAGTTCGACGCGTAATTTATTAATTTCTTAACGAAAGATCGCATTTTGTAACCGATCCGGAATCGAGCCCGTTTTGCAGAACGCGACTGCTCGCGGCGGTGCGTTTCATATTTCTTCGGAATTCAGTTTCATGCTTCGCCGGGAGAAACGAAAGCTGTGTATGCTTTCCAGCGTACGCAAAAGCGCCAAAAAAAAAGAAAAGGAAGGAAGAAAAAAATATACTGAGGCTACAAAAAAAAAAATGCCAGAGAAGCCGCGCAATCGGAGAGCACAATGTTTGCGAAACCATCCGTTTCATTATTTCCCGTTTTTTCGTCCCCCTACCCCCTTCTGGAACGCGTTGCGGTTGCTTCGTAATCTAGTCTCGACGAGAAAAAATATTTTCATCCGAATAATAAAGAATTAATCGGCCATTGCGCGATCAGTGATCGTTTCTAGATTTTATCTGCTTCGAGCACTTTTATTCCTCGTTAATTAACAGAAATTATTTGTGATTTATGAAAAATTGTACAATTTCGTTCGACTGAAATATTTCATTTTAAATTGAAATATTATTATAAGATATAGAACATCTTGGAAAATTTTTCAAGATGTCTTCATCTTTGGAAATGTTTGTTTTTTTTTTTTTGTGAATGGGGATTGAGAATAAAACAGAGGGTTTCGAGAGTCTCGGGCACCAAATGTTTAATGGTAAGCTCAGAGTGTTCAGGAAGTCGTAAACTATGATTTTTAGAGCGGCGAAGCACTGCACGCCGCACGCGCGCGCCAGAACGCGGAACTTTCAAACAATTAGCCGCGCCAGGCTAAGTTCCAAGAATCTCGTGACAAAACTGTGGAAGGGCGAGCAGGAATCTCCCCTGGTCTATGTAGAATCACTGTTATATTTTCGTGCAAACTACATTCGACGTCACACTTGTGCAAACTATATCAAAACTTGCACAATTTCAGGCGCTAATACGACGCATAAGAATAATAAATAAAATAGGAGAGTTAGACGTAGAGTTAGCACTCAGTGTACTAATTTTCTTTATTCTACAATACGAGTAAAAGTACTGTGAATTTGTCGAACAAGTGTGAAGGGTCGAAAAGGTCATATTTAATATCCTCTAGTTGGACGAATTTCTGTATCTGGGAAAAATTTTAATGGGAGATTCTAGAGGCCAAAATAAGACGAAAATCAAGAATACCAATTTGTTGATGGAGGCATCGTTAAAAAGTTATTAATGTTTAAAGTTTCAACCTTATTGAATTTTTTTTTCGAAAATGCGCAGGATTTCGGGGGTATCTCTATTCACTAAAAGTGATTGTAATCGACCCCTACAACTAAAAATAATTTTTCCAGCACGATTTGAAATTTTTTAATTCCATTGAAAAGTTTCACACATTCTCGAATTTTTTTCTAGAAAATGGGTAGGATTTCGGTGGTATGCCTATTGACCGAAAACGATTGTAATTGATCCCCGCAGGCGAAAATAATTTTTTTAGATCGATTTGAAAATGTTCTTTTTCGTCGAAAAATTTAGGCTTAAAAATTCGAAAAATTCATTTTTAAAAATTTGTTTGACGTCCTATAGAAAAATTGTCTAATACCTTTTTGCAGGTACCCATGAGCTCTACTTCAGAAAAAAGTTTCATTGAAATATATTCACTATTGTAGGAGTTATGGCTGTTTGAAAATTCGACCATTTTTACGGAGTTTTCCTAACTTTTCGGGATCAACGAACAACTATTTCAATATTTTTAGAATTTCTATATATTCTCCATTACAATACGCGTCATTTGCATTTTGAAACATTAAAATCCTTCAATCCGTTCAGAAGTTACGATGTTTCAAAGATTCGCATGAAATTTCGGGCAGACATTCCTGGCCAGAAATGATATTTTCAGTAAAGAATTTTTTTCTCAAAAGTGGATAGGATTTCGGAGGTATGGCTATTCACCAAAAAACGATTGTAATTGAACTCTGCAACTAAAAGTAATTTTTGTAGAAGGATTTGAAATTTTTTAATTTCGCCGAAAAATTTGTCCACATTCCTGAATTTTTTCCCCGAAAGTGGATAGGATTTCGGGGGTATGTCTATTCAGCAAAAGTGATTGTAATTGAATCCTGCAACTAAAAATAATTTTTGTTGAAGGATTTGAAATTTTTTAATAACTCTTTAACGAAGCCTCAGTTAAGAAATTTATATTCTTGATTTTCGTCTTATCTTGGCCTCTAGAATCTCCCATTAAAATTTTTCCCTGTATTAATCCTTTGTCTGAGGAGAATTTTATTCGCAATTAACAAATTTTAAATTCACATATTAAATTCATCAGTTATAAAAATCCGTCCATGAATTCTAATTTGATAATTAAGTCCTCAAAGAACGAGCCGTATTCGTAGTGGAGATAATTTACTGACTAATTTTAAATAATAATTTTAAGTAACAAAAAAAAAAAAAGAAAAGAAGGGTTGAATTTTGAATTAAAAATATTATTCCTGCTTGTTATTTGATAATAGGAAGTGTGAATGATGGGAGTTGGATGTTTGGCCGATGAAAATGCAAATTTGTGGAAACGGGGGGGGTTAACGTAACAGCGAAAGAAAGCGAAACGCGTCAAAGTTGTTCAGGCGGATCCACTTCATCTCTCGTAGACCGCAGTGATTGCATCGGCGAACGTTTGCGGCATGTAATTACTTGGCTCTATGTAAATTCTGTCTGTTGCCACGCACAACGCCGTACGATTAGGTCATTACGCCAATCGTGCCATAATCAGGCACTCGATAAACAATGCTAATTATGATACTGTGGCGCGCGCAACGACAAGCGTTAGAAGTACAAATCTATACACGTGACAACGCGACTCGCGTTCTCCAGCCATTTACGATTCGTATAATCCCAATACAATCCCCCTCCAATTCAAAATTTAATAGTTGGGAGACTGCAAGCTCACCTCGATCCTCCTCAAATTTTATTATTTTTGCACGCATTGGAATTTTCGAACGTACGAAAGAGATTATTAACCCTTTGCACTCCTATGTCGAGTGTGATTCGACATCAATTTTTATCTCAGGAGCTCCTTCGTCAAGTCCCACTCGACATTTTTTCAAGTCCATACCAAAGAGATATCGTACACTTGAAAATTACAAAATACAACAACAGTGTAAATAAAACAGATATTCTAACAGGTAAATTTCAAATAAAACACTTAAAGGCGTTGGGAGATGCTGGTAACAAAATTGAAATATAATTCGGAGTGCAAAGGGTTAAATACTCAATTGTGAAACTCAGTTTTCGAAATATTTGAAACGATAAGATTGATTAATTTAATCCTTATTTAGTAAGTATGTTTACTAAATACACACTACACATTTTTCAGGATTATTTCTGAGAAGAATGAATAGAATTTATTGACAATTTCATGCAATATTTGAAAAGATACAAAATGGTGGGTGTAGAATGAATTTGGGTCTCTCTAAACGTTAAATTGAGCACACAGAAAAATTCTCTACGTTCCAATCTTGAGTAATCTCAGATTTTATAGTGTAATGACTAGCGTAGTAGCGGAAGCTAGCGTAAGTTCGGTAGATCGAGGTGAGGGCGCTGCGAGCGGACGCCAGCGACACTCAGTTTGGTCATCTCCCGTGTCGCAGACCAGAGTAAAGCAGTTTTAAGGTTAACCACGTGTTACTTATGATTTCACTGGTCTCCTTCATCCCCGGCCACCTACTACAATTTCTAAATATTTAGTAGCACCAAACAAAAAAAGAAAAAATAAAAAAAAACCAATATAATATAATTACTGTTCCAATTTTTAAGGTAGAAAAAAAAATAATACCGCGATATTTTAATACCCATAATTCTCTATCTAAAATAAGGGATTACTTGACAAAAAGATGAGTATTTTTATCGAAAATTTGGGAAGGTCGAGCGAACAATCGCGAATTTAATCAGGAATTAAGACGATTCGTTAATCGATCGTACTAACGATCCCCACTGTGCGAAATTCGCGTCCTTTGTTGCAAAATTCAGGGCGCAATTATTCGTAATGGCGGCCGCGCGAAAGGACGATCGAACGGACCCGAACAGTCGAGGGGGTGGTGAAAAGATGGGCAAAAGCAAAGGCGATCCGATTTCTTATTCAGCGATCCGAGTTGAAGTGACTTTATAGCCTTAGATATTGCCATAATGGATTTATGATGGCGGCGAGGCATACAGATTCACGGTGTACGCGTTATTACGTCGACGCGGGACGGAATGACGCGTAATGATTTTCCGATGCGACGAGTCCCTCGGACACTTTATTCATCTGCGAGACTGCTTTTTCATACGCGTCTAAGAGGATTTCATTCCCCGCGACGCACGAATAATCGACGACCGATTGGAGAATCACTGTACGCGTTCAATTCTTACACTAGATTTTGGAATTCGACTACACAATCATAAAGTTACTGATCTCCTAAATATTATTTATCAGCAATTTATACAACCTGATCGAAAGGAAAACTCTGTTTCATCTTCTTCTGTATTAACCCTTAAGTAAACTAATAATTATTTAATGTATGTAAATGTAATTATTTGGGATTTTATGTAATCCTCCATTGGTTCATTACTTTTAAATGCTTCAAGTTGATTTCCATTTGCCAATTTGGTAAAATTCAACTTTAACACTAGATTTATGGAAGCCGTTAATTTGACGGATGTCTGATTCCATATTTAAAATTGCAGAACGCGTAAATATTATTTTTAACAACTTATGTTGAATGTAATTGATGGAATGGCATGAATATTCTAATTAAAAGAAAAATCGTGTTGTAAAAATCTAGTCTTAAGTAAAATTATTCAGTTGAGATCAAGAATCCGCTTAAGGGTTAATCTCCTATTTTTTTAGTAAATTGTGAATCAAAGAATCTTTTATTTTTAATCTTCGATGTTCCAAGAATTAATATCTGATAATTTCTATCGAGAAGTTCTTCTCCTATATTGAGAACAATTTTGCAAATGATTCAATTGGACATCACAGCCCAGGTGTCTTTTAATAATCGATGACAAAGCCATTTTCCATCAGGATTACGCTTTCGTTCGCGCAACTTTCCCTGCAAAACAGTGGTCTCAAGAGTTCCGCGATCGAGTTATTACCACGGTCAGCACTAAATTCTGATTTGAATCGCCGCCGAGATCCCGCGAGATATATTTTTGCAGTCGAAAGTTCACAGACATCCCGAATGAAACTCTAAGTAACTCAATTAATAGCGGTCCTGATTATATTGCAAATAATAAAAAATAAAGAGAAGATCTATCAAACGTAAAGTAATTAAAATTAATACCGAATTTGTATGTGTTCATGACGTAAAACGCGATAGAAAATTTTTCTTCAATTTCTCTCTTATTTATTTTATTTAGACGACGACTAGTCGTTAATTTCGACTACGAGAAACGGATCGATTTTCCTCGTACACGGTTTTCTTACTAATTACTCTATGGCGGTTTGATTGACATCCCGCTAGGACACGTCGTATCTGAAATAGGAACATGACGGGATGTTTGCCTTATACAATGGTCCCACCCAGATCTCTGTTATATGCCCGCTGATATACGCTTGTCCGTCACAGACGGCTCGATTCGATCCTCGAACGATCAACTTCTGAACAAAGATGTTGGACATTAACTGTGAAATTAAATACAACTGCTTTTCGAAATCTAATTACAATTACACTCCTCCCAGCGAGCGTTCGAATCGTGACAGTCGTTTCACTATTTTTCATTTATTTATTTAATGGTTCTACTTTGCTTTTTATTAATAGCGGGAGCTTTCGAACAAGGAAAATAAACGAATTTCGAGACCATCTTTGAGTTATCCGTATTAATACAGATTTATTCTGATTTTAATTAATCGTGAATAAAAATTTCAAGCAACGTAGCTCGATCGAGCGCCATTATGAGACAGAGGGCCACCAAAATGGCGCCTGATGGCGGGAGATTCGATCATCAGCGTTAAGATCTCAACTTTCCCGGGTCTCATAAAACGAAAGTATTGCAGATATCAACATAATCGCGGTTCGAACGATAGCTCTTTATAAGTATGCAAAAGAAACGCCAATGGGTCTGGCAGTTTCTGAGATATCTCCGTCGTTAAATCGAGAATCGCGCCACTTCAAGCTTTTCGTACGGGATAAACATGGCGGATAACCTGTCCGCCACACAACCATAATCTTTTACACCCAATCCGTATGCGTTTAATCCCTTCTTGAGAACATTTATCATCAGCACCCTCAAATCCTGTGTGTCGGAAAACACTGATTTTTAAATTCATTTATGACAGAGAAATTCAAAATGGAATATTTCGATCGAAAGGACAATACCAATACAAAGTTTACTATAAAAATTCAGCGATCAGTCCAATCGTGCTTGTAATTTTCTTTACAAAGAATAGATAGAATTTCTAAGCAAGTTTCTAATTCCTCATGAAGTAAAATATAATTTTGTCAAATTTCCAAACGTCAGTCCACCCAACATAGAAATATATTTCCGTCGCACAAAATCTCCCTCGACATTTATTTTCTTTACAAAGAAATAATAAGAATTATACTCTCTAATAGAATTTCTAAGCAAGTTTCAAATTCCCCACGAAGTCAAATATAATTTTGTCAAATTTCCAAACGTCAGTCCACCAACATAGAAATATATTTCCGTCGCACAAAATCTCCCTCGACATTTATTTTCTTTACAAAGAAATAATAAGAATTATACTCTCTAATAGAATTTCTAAGCAAGTTTCTAATTCCCCACGAAGTCAAATATAATTTTGTCAAATTTTCAAACGTCAGTCCACCAACATAAAAATAATAAATCTCCCTCGACATTTCGTGAACAAACACACAGACTTTGCATCGATTTTCCAAGGTGTTACGATGTGTTTAGTTACCTACACAGTGAAACGTAATTTTGACAAATTTTTGAACGTCAGTCTACCAACCTAGAAATAGTTTGCTTGCATCTTGGTTCTCGATTCGAAGAGAGTATAGCAATCCCAAAAATGGGGATTCGAAGCCTCTTAAACCTCGTTAAACAGACAGTTTAACCCGGTAATGAGTTTGCAGATACGGATGCCTCGAATCAGTGCCAATTTAGATTACCTTGGACAGCCTCATTCCTATGCGAACGGGAGAACCGGAGGTTTACTCTCTCGCATAACTCTATCTCGATGTTAGGGCGCGCGAACCCCGCGTCGTTCTTATCCGCTTATTAGCCCAGAGACTAGATTCCACCCTATGGCTGTATTCCTCTCGGAACTCGAACGAGGTCCTACGCATTATTCGCCTTGTTCCCACTGTGTGACGTCGTTCCGGATCGCGCAAGATACTCCCGGTTGCAATAACGCAGCTCCCCGGTGATCGGAGAAAACGGAAATCGCAAGAAAACTACCCTATTTGCAGATCAAAACCATATTTACGAAGAAAGCTACCAACCTCGCTGAAGAATTTTCCACCCAAACCTAGCCACAAATATTCAAAAAAGTATCCTAAAGATTAATATTTACCATTTGGTTTATTCTCAGTCAATTATAATTTTTTTTTTATATCAAGTGCATTCAAAGTCTTACGATTTTATTAAGTCTAGGTAGAGATATTTGAAAAAGTATCCTAAATTTATCATTTCTGTGATTTATTTTTTTTTTTTCAATATCAGGTTTATTCAAACTCTCCTCACGACGAACCCATGGAAAATAAAAATTTCGATTCTATACAGAAACAATGCTACAACATACACTTTGTTAGATCAAAGGGTATAGCTTATAGAATAAGGGGGTCAAATGTGCCCCCAAACCGAATTGAACGAATGACGGGTCATTCGATAGGTTATCCAAGAAAACCCCTGTGTGCAAATTTTTAACTTAAAATCTCGACCGTGGGGTAAGCAATGTGGTAAAAACGAAACTCATGTTTTTGTACAATTTCTCTTGACCTATCGAGTAAAAAAATACAAAAAAATTCAGAGACATTTCGGGTACCGGGGCACATACTTTGGCAGATTTTCAGATTTTTTGATCGAAGAACCAGGTAGTAAAAAATAAAAAACCGCAAAAAATGCCGAAAAATGCCGATTACGTATTAAAGGAGGCCCGGAACTACTTTTATACTTTTACAGTAAACAGGTATTGCTATTACTTATTATTCTCAATTTTTTTCAGATTTTTCATTTTGGTGCGCCGCAGTGAAAAAAAATAAAAACCGATTTTTTCCTCATTTTCTGCGTATTAGAGTAACTTACACGTTGAATTTTTATGCATTCTTCAATATATGAGTGTTTTGTAGACTGTTTAATGTTTCTGCACTAAGCAGAATTACATAACAATTGAAACAAATAAAATAAAGTCAACCGTTGAGCGCAATATATCCTAAAAAATCAACGATATTTCCAACGGCGGTTTTTTATCGTAAGTTCGAGTCTCTCTTCTGGACTTAGAATTCTTTTTTTCAAATTCTAACTATATAACAATGCTTTATATTTATTTATAAATATTGGATAACCTATCGAATGACCCGCCATTCGTTCAATTCGGTTTGGGGCCACATTTGACCCCCTCATTTGGCTATACACTTTATAAGCTGCACAATCCTCAACTTGCTCAACTCGAAGTCTACGAACGTCGATAATTATCAATCCGCGACTCGATCCCTTTTAATTAACGACGAAACGGTCCCCCACATCGCGATTAGAGCGAGACACACGTTGGAGATCGCGGCGTTCCGGCTGTTTAATTTTGCAAAACGGATAAAGTTTCGGTACTTACGTTCTCGATCACTTTGGTTCCGAACATCTCGAATCTGTCGTTGCTTTCGTTCAAGTATTCGGTGCCGTTCTGCCAGGTGACGTTCGCCGCGGGTCTCGCCTCCCTCACAATGCACTGCAGCAGGATCTTCGTTCCTCGCACGACGTGGCTCACCACCCCGTCTAAATTCATCTCCAGCGGCCGTACTGTAAAAGATGTTCCGTCGTTGAATTATTCAAATCCGTTTCCCGATCTTAATTCCCCGGTAACGGTAAATAATTGAATGTTTAACTTCGCGTTACGGTACGGCGCCCGCCGCGCGTTCGAATCTCGCGCCGAAACATCAAACATGGCGCCCCGGCCAGCGCGAACCTTCCCTGGCGCCAAAGAAACGTATAAAATCGTATTTGGCCCAGATTTCGAGAAGATTTTCTACGATTCGTTTTGAGAATTTACGTGGAAATTTATTCTCCTCCGACCTTTATTTTTGAAACTTTATTACTAGACTGCGGATGTATATGAATTTATGGGAAAATCCTCAAAAAACTACAGAATGCATTTAATATGCAAAAATATAAGAAATACTTAAAGTAAGATACGAATTATTACTATTAATAAAAATGTGAATTTGCATAAAGATCCGCAGTCTATTTATTACATTGGTTTTTCGAGGTAATTTTTGTTGAAACTTTGAATCAGTAAATTTTATTTAGCGTCTAAACTAAATAACTGATCTAATAATTGTTTATTAATGGAAATACTCATACAACCGGATGTATTGTTCGAAAGTTCGTGGAATTTTGGATTCCCAGTTATTTTTGTTCGTTGAAATTCACACATATGGGTGACGCGACAGTCAAATGCGCCAAAGCGTGAATGCACAAAGGTGTGGCAGTTGGGTGGGGGTGAATAGTAAGAATGGGAAGAATGTGTCGTATAATGTGTGGCACCATGGACAAAATATTCTGGGAAATCAGAAAGTCAAGTTGTATCTGGAAACCCGAAGGATCTTCGCCATCGATGTTCCATTTTCCGGACGAGCGACGTATCGGAAAATTTTTCGCGAAACAGCCAAATATCGTTATTTAGATTTTTGAAATTTACTCGTAAAACTTTAATCAAAATAACGTCAATTCTTTTTTTGGGAGGGGAGGTCACTTGACTCGCTCAGTTGCAACTCTGACATGTCGTTTCCACCCACCTTGAACAAAAATATCGATGGAAAAAAATATGTGAAAATATTGTTATTTAGATTTTAATCGACACCATTTCAATCAAAATAACGTCAGTTTTTTTGGGGCGTTTAACTAAATTTCAGTTGCAACTCTGAGGGGTAGTTTTCATCGAATACAGATTATCGATGCTAGTACATGAAAGAACTAAATTTTTATAAATAAATAATTAAATTATTTAGAATAAAACTAATTGAAATACTTCTATTACTAAATTCTGATAATTCTGTCGCTCTTATCAAAAACTGTAATGATTATAAAATTTCCGGGTTTTCTAGCACCAAGCCTCACAAATCTGCTTTGATAGTAATTCAATTCGTAATTAAATTCGTCGTCTATAATAACTTTGATTTTCCCCCGAACGATTTCATCTCTGTTTTCGTCGAAGACGTTTTACGGGAGTTTACAACCAGCGACCTGGCCAGCAACACGGAACCGCGTGTTTCGATCACCGAACTTTCCATCCGGAAACTGGCTTCCTTCGTCTCCCGAAGCGAGCCTAAAACGAAAGTTTTCGCCCGTAAACTTTACGACGAATTTCGAAAATCCTCCCCCCCCCCCCACGGCGTGATTTTACGACACCGACGACGAAAATTTTATCGTTCATCGAACGACGAAACGGCGTCGAGCCAAAGGAGAAAGGATTCTTCGAGGATCGTCGATGATAATAATATTAATTTTCTGATAATAATTCTTATTTTAATTTTAAAACACTGGCGAGAAGCGTCACTCGGTTGCGAAGGGTTAATTTTTTAAAAATTCCGAGATTTTATTCCTTCTTCCTTGGAAACAGCGAATACAAATAATTAATAAATTCGATTTAGTAATTTACGTACTAATTACGTAGTTATTAACGAATTCGGTAACAATTGCAGTGGCAGTATTTTTAATTATTTGTATTCGTTCCTCGATGTATCTTCAACGTGCATCTTGCTACCTACCTTAATTCAAAAACGAAGCCCCATCCGACATTTTTGCAAAGGAAATTGTTGTTTAGAATCGGCTCACCTACCCCCCATTTCCGGTTCTTACACTATTTACTGGACACCCTGTATATTTTCGACTCGACGATTATAAAACAATTTAAATTTCGATCGAGACACGCTGTCGGATTGAAACCGTCCAACGTAGAAGTGGTGGACGTTTAAGCGTATTAATGAAAAAGAGGTAAACCAAAAAACGTGACCAATACCGAGCGTAGGAATAAAACCAGCATGCGAATCGATTGATTCGTTTATTGGACATTCTGCAAAGTTCGACTTGTTCAATTATCCAATACGTAGCCCCGACCAATTCACGGTGTCTCGGTCGGTTCGTTAGCTGTGGTGAGTTTTTAGGGCGAAACATGTTTGGGCGTATAATACCTTTGATGATTAAATAACGTCAATTGGCCAAATTGTTGTAATTTGACAGGCGTCGTTGACGGGTTCCGTTTTTTGTGGTTCGAAAGTGGGGATCGACTCGACTTTTCTTATTTCGAATTTCTGTGTTCCAAGTGTACAATTTTTGTTACCTCAACTCGTAAAGAGCAGCTTAATGAGTTTCAAATATGGAATAAAATTTGACAGTGTCTCGATTTGAAAATTCGGAGAACAAAGTGACGCGTTAAAGAAATCCCTTCCCCATTTTAGATTTGTTTGATGTTGACACGTACATTAATTGACGGACTCTGTGCATGCACGATGTTAACGACAAGTTAGTTGGATTGTTAAATTACGTAGTACTTCTTTGTCTCTATGTTTCCAACGAGTGCAATCGTACTCGCGAATGCAATTCGTAGAAAGACACTCGAAACGTTTGCAACCCTTAATGTTCGAGCATCGTAGAACTCCCGTCTTCCGAAATTGAGTGTTCGCAGAAACTGAATTAAAGTCATGGTTGGCAAGAAACTGTGGAACAGAGTGCTTTAGAATTCAATATTCGACACAATTCGATTACATTTTGCCCAAAAATTGCAACGTTGTAGATATATTTTTTTACCATCGACGTTCCTGTTCGAGGGGGTGAAAACTACCCCTCAAATTGCAACGGAAATTTAGTTACATGTCTCCAAAAAACAATATTTAATATTTGTAATAAAAGTATTTCGATTTATTTTATTCGACGAAAAAATAGTTTAATACCCTCATTTATTTGTTAGCAAAAATTTTTCAATAACAGTATTTCGATTTATTTTATTCGACGAAAAAATAGTTTAATACCCTCATTTATTTATTAGTAAAAATTTTTCAATAAAAGTATTTCGATTTATTTTATTCGACGAAAAAATAGTTTAATACCATCATTTATTTATTAGTAAAAATTTTTCAATAAAAGTATTTCGATTTATTTTATTCGACGAAAAAATAGTTTAATACCCTCATTTATTTATTAGTAAATATTACTCAATTTCAACGTCTTCTGATACGACAGAATAATTGATTTTAATAAAGAGCAATTTTCGCAGTTACATTATAAATACGGCCCCAATCGATCGCTATAATTAGGTTAATCGTTTGGGTCTTCGCTTTTAACGATGCGTTTGTATTCTAATTTTCATATACAATAAATAAATAGTATCAATTTCCCCCGGAACTCAACGCAACTACTATAAATGGAAGCACAACGTACTGAACTTCTGCCCCATTTATACCACTCGAGAACATCAAGAGGACCCTCATCGACTGAATTATTTAATTGGTGTCTTACCTTTGATATAATTCAGATTTTATACATCGACGAATGCAAACGGAAGAATTTAAATAACTCTCGATTACTCTTTTTCTGCGGGTTCCCCTTTACATGTTAAATTCAGTTTACGTCTCGAGCATCTAATACTAACCACTCAACCAATAAATAAATACTGTTGTAACAATTTACTAAAATATTTCTTATATTTTATATCACTGAATTCACTTTAAAAATTAAAATTCAGATAAATATCATTTTTTTACGTTATTGAATTTAATTCCAATGGTATTCCAGTGTTTTCAGAATAAACTATTCCAAAATATTAAAATACAGTAAACATTTTTTTATGTATTAGCTACCTTTTTAAAATTGATTAATATAAAATAGAATTAATGATCTTGACTCGAGTAGTTTTCGTTCTTCCCGCCAGGCGACGCCACCAAATTCTGTCTATTTGTGATTTCCAATAAAAAAAATGAATTGAACTGCTTTCGTAAAATTGACAAAATAGAATAATCTTGAGTCGAGTAGTTCTCGTTCGTTTTCATGTAATATTTATGGAATGAATTTAATCTCAGTTGGTAGACTGTTGCAGCTAACGTATACATACTGTCAAAACAGATGAGTGCACGTCTGATCGTGAAATCCGTCGTCCGACAAGGGAAGACAAAACCTGCCCTATTGTTTCCGGAAGGGCACTCCGGCAGATTGGCAGATGCTCCAAAATATCGGTTTAAGGCAGAAGAGGATCCTCCCTGGGCGCCATTCCTTTACTTTTTACTACCCACGGAACTATAATTAAACAAATCGAAACAGAATTTCGAACAGTCTTTATGATTCTTTGGCTAAAATTTACTTTCAAAACCTAAATACACACTCCAGAGCCTAGAAATCACTAATCTAAATAAAATACCAATTAATACATCATATCAGTATTAACAGTATAAATAAATAATTAATTAACAAACGAGACACCTGTACGAATTATTTTTCCGCCCTACTTCCATTTCGTTTGTTCCCCAAAAAATGTCCAACAAACCACAAAAAGGTGTTTTCGTTTTCCCACCTGTAGAGCGTCAAAATCAAAAGGCAGTTCGCGACGTGCCAGGAACATTTTCACAAAATGTTTTCGTTCCGCTGGCCAAGCAAAATGACAGGTCGAAACGTTTACGAAGGAATAAACTATGTTCGTTGGGGCTCCGTATTTTATTCTTTCCCCTTACCCGGGGACTTGGCGAGCCAGGGAAATCCGTAGAAAGTTTTCCCGGAGGCGATTATACGAAAGATAATTCTGGACCGAAACC